GTTAACCAAATATTTTAGATCCATTGATTCAAGCCATTTCACATCTTTTGAAAATTCCTCTATACAGTAATGTAAACAATTGCTACTAACAGGAAAGCATTTCTGTCAGGAATAATGGAGGATCACAAAGTTAAAATATTTTTAATGCAGGTGTAACAGAGCAACAATACAATGTACTAAAAAATATACGCTAATTATTTAAAAATAAATTTGAATATGAATTTTGAATGTTCGATAGCGAAAATATGAGATAATTAAATCGATCACTTGTTCATAAAAAAAATTTGAGAAAATAAAAGATTTCTATACTATTAAACATTTCATATTGCTATTCAATAGATAAAAATTATTGGCAAAAAAATATACCATTTAGCAAATCAAACATTAAAAGGACGAAGGGACAACATGAAGTTTTAAATTAATTTGAGAAATTCTGATAAGCGACGTCTTATCTATCATTTCTTTCCTCGGGTCTTTCTTATCATTGTAAAATATCGGCAAGCTACGATGCTTCTTCGTTCATAGCAAACTTTACAAAAAGCATCAATTCACCTGTTTGAGCATTTATTAAGAATAAAATTTTTACAGAATGTTCAAACGAACTGACCTTTGTCTATTTTCCTCATGAATTAGTGTTTCAATTGACTTATTCGTCACAAAAATGGCGTACATTTTCTAGCTTTTTATATTTTTTGTTGAAATTAGCCCACATCGTTTTTTTACCAATCAAAAATTGAGATTGCTAACCACATTTAAATATTAAAATCCATATTATTCGATGCCAAAGTTGATATGGTTTTTCCGAAATTTAATAGATGAAAGTATAGAATAGAGAAAAACTAAAAAAATAAGTTTTCTTAGTATGACATATTTAAAATAATCGTATTTTCTTTAAAAGTTTACCCGAACTATGATAATAGATAAGATAATGAAAGAAATTTGCCTTCTATATTGTAATTCCCATCTGAGAATTAACTAAAAAATGATTTCCAATACAGTTTGTACGAGACTTGGAAACACAACATTTTACCTTCTTTTAATTTTGCTTATCAATGAATTTGGTAGCAATTTAATTTTTCTTGTATAAAATTGATTAAGAAAATGCTATCTTTACATCTATAAGCATTAAGCAGAATAATGTTTTATTATTTGTTTGTAAGCTATTCTCGCTACTATATTTGCATTGCCTCAATCAATATTATTTTCAATGTAATTTTGACTATTCAAATATGAATGAATAGTCAAATATTAAAGATTTTAAAATTCAGCACAAATAATGAAACAAAATAAACAAACATAATGCGATGAATAGAAATAGCAAATACGATTGAAACATGTATTATGAACATCTTATTAAAGGAAAAAATTTGATAACAATACTGATAATTGTGCCATCTGTTAGGATGGTAAAGAATTTAGAAAGGATGAGAAATATTATCAGCTAAAGATAATTTGTCAATCGAATAAGCAATCTTTTAATTCTAAGGCTGAAAATTTGAAATGTAAATTGACTTAATAAAAAGATCAAGAAATCTTTTATCTATGGACTTCATTTAATTATGATTATTATAATGATAAGCGATATCATATACAGTTTGTAAAATGTCTTAAGATTCGTGTGCACATCTTTCTTTATTCAAATGATGGATTTTAATTGGTGCAATGCTCAGATCGTAATTTCACAATATGAGAGACTATATTTTATTTAAAAATCATTTCCAGACCTAATATTGTTGCAATACTGATATGAAAACATTGAATTAGCAATATTAAAGAAAAGTGTGAAGTTTAAACATAAAAATAAACTTCTTTTTTTACATGAAAGATAAATTCAATTAAACTTTCTCGAAAAATTTTGCAAACTTTACTTGTTTATTGATGAAAAACATTACTTGTTCATTTTTTGGTAAATTGCAAATTTCAATCGAAGGAATTTTCAGTGAAACATAGCACACCAAAATTATTTGAATTCAAAAAATGATTGAGCTTTTTTTTGTGTGTGTTTTTTTTTCGGTAACATCGAATTATAATGAAAATATTCATTCAATTAACTTTCCTCATTTTTTTTCACAATTTTATTGGATGGCGCTTGCTGTACTGGTAATCTATCGCCTTTGATATAACTATTTTGTGCAAGATGAATCGAAATTCGTCATTTTTCGAATAATATAATAACAGTAAACGAACATTACTTTCCAATATGTTAGTCATATGATATTCATTTAACAATAATTTCATTTTTTTTCAATTATTTTTTTTTGCCACCAATACTGCTCGAAATCAATAAAATTTATTAGAATAAAAATATTTGAGATACATGGTTGAATTATGAAGTATTAAGCATTTTACATGTCAAAAATGCAGAATTACTTGATTATTTCATTGCAATAAAACTTTCCAAAAACTGAATAAATCTTGAAACTTCAATTTCTGAAGAGGAGAAAAAACTAAAATGACCAATTAACATGAAAAGATTACTCAATTAATTGAAGGATTAAATTAAGATTGTTTAAATTCACGTATTTTATAACATTTAATAATGCAAATGTAATATTTCAATTTCATTTAATCTGTTCTAATATTAAACATTAAATTCAAAAAGTGCAAAATAACGGTGGAGTTATTTCTGGATTAAATTAATAAAATTACTAAAAATTAAAAATTGTTGCACGAATCTCAGTGCTATTTCATATTTTGTTGCAAATTTATATCGTGGCAGAGAGACAGGCCTAAAATTTCCGGACAGATTCGTGCTAATTCGTTTCCCGTTGGTCTTATTCTATTTCAGTTTCCGAATGAATTGGTGCTATTTTAATTTCCGGATTGCTCGCAATAATATCAAACTCTCATACTCCTTTTTTCTCAACGTTTCTGCAACGCTATCATAGAACGGAATTGTTTGTAAAGTTTGGAACATTGAATTTGGACCAAAGATCACGTAATTAACGCTGGGGACTGTAATTTCACTCGTTGTTGCGTCTGTACGTCAGTCTGCAACAAAAGACATACGGCTACAAACGAATAAGAGATAAAACAGGTCCCGGGGAGATTTGAACTCCCGTCGCAGGATTCAAAGTCCTGAGTGCTAACCACTACACCACGGGACCCTATGAATTTGAAATCCGATTCTTTCTATAAAATATTATTTTTGGTAAATTTATTTAAAAAATTTAGAATAGTGAACAGAAAAAGTATCTGACGTTTTTGCGAA